TTTTTGTGGTGTTGTGCTTGTCATTGCGTGTTTGTGATTGTGGCTGTAGTTGTGTGTTTGTGATTGTGTGTTTGTGGTTGTGTGCTGTGATTGTGTTGCGGTTGTGTGTTTGTGGTTGTGTGTTGTGGTTGTGTTTGTAGTTCCGTTTGTGATTGTGTTTGTGGTTGTGCTTGTGGTTGCGTCTTTGTCGTTGTGGCTGTGGTTATGTTTGTGGTTCTGTGCTTGTCGTACGTGTGATTACGGTTGTGTGTTGCGGTCGTGTTTGCGGTTGTCTTTGTGATTTTGTTTTTCCCCAAACAGTTTACTGTTAGGGGTTCTCAATTCTTTCTTAAGATGTGTCCGCCCTTTTCGTCACTGCATTTCATTTGTCTCACAGGTCTGTCACTGCTGGTGTCCGCCCTTTTCCGCTGGCCATGTAGCATTTCTATTCATTTGTCTCCCAGGTCTGTCGCTGCGGGCGTCCGCCCTTTTCCGCTGGCCATGTAGCATTTCTATTCATTTGTCTCCCAGGTCTGTCGCTGCTGGTGTCCGCCCTTTTCCGCTGGCCATGTAGCATTTCTATTCATTTGTTTGCCATGCAACATTTCTATTCATTTGTCTCCCAGGTGTGGTGTCCGCCCTTTTCCGCTGGCCATGTAGCATTTCTATTCATTTGTTTGCCATGCAACATTTCTATTCATTTGTCTCCCAGGTCTGTCACTGGTGGTGTCCGCCCTTTTCCGCTGGCCATCTCGCATTTCTATTCATTTGTCTCCCAGGTCTGTCAATGCTCGTGTCCGCCCTTTTCCGCTGGCCATGTAGCGTTTCTATTCATTTGAATCGCAGGTCTGTCACTGCTGGTGTCCGCCCTTTTCCGCTGGCCATGTAGCATTTCTATTCATTTGAATCGCAGGTCTGTCACTGCTGGTGTCCGCCCTTTTCCGCTGGCCATGTAGCATTTCTATGCATTTGTTTTTCGAGGTCTGTCGCTGCTGGTGTCCGCTGTCATTGGTGGTGTCCGGCCTTTGCCATGTAGCATTTCTATTCATTTGTCTCCCAGGTCTGTCACTGCTGGTGTCCACCCTTTTCCGCTGGCCCATGTAGCATTTCTTGTCATTTGTCTCCGAGGTGTGTCACTGCTGGTGTCCGCCCTTTTCCGCTGGCGATACAACATTTCTATTCATTCCCCAATCAGTTTGCCGTTACGTAGGGTTTGTCACTTCTTTCTTAAGATGTGTCCGCCCTTTCTGTCACTGCTGGTGTCCGCCCATTTCCGCTGGCGATGCAGCAATGCAGCGTTTCAATTCGTTTGTCTTTAAAGTGATTTCTTTACTTTTGTTTTCCAGGTTGAGTGCCTGCACTGCTGGCATCCGCCCTTTTCACCTTTCCAGCATTTCTATTCATTTGTCTCCCAGGTGATTTCTGTACTTCCCCAAACAGGTTACTGTTGGGGGTTCTAAACGCTTTCTAAAAGTGTCCGCCTTGCTGCCGGACAGCGTGTCCGCCTTGTCTCTCTTGTTGGTCACTGTGTCCGCCTTGTCTCCCTTCTGTTTCCTTTTGTCTCCCTTCTTGTCTCCCTTCTTGTTGGTCACTTGTCTCCTCTCCCTTCTGTTTCCTTTTGTTTCCCTTCTTGTTGGCGCCTTGTCTCCCTTCTGCCTCCCTTTGTCTCCCGTCTTGTCTCTTTTCTTGCTGGGCACTGTGTCCGTCTTGTCTCCCTTCTGTTTCCTTTTGCCTCCCTTCTTGTCTCCCTTGTTGTCCCCCTTCTTGTTCGTCGTTGTGTCCGCCTTGTCTTCCTTCTTTCTTCTCTCCCCCCTCTCGCTTGCAACCCTTCAATCGTTTACATTTGTCTCCCAGCGCTGGGCTGCTGTGTCCGCCTCTGCCTTGCAATCCTTTACACGTGTCCTCGCAAGCTTTTGCATTTGTCTGCCAGCTCTAGACTGCTGTATCCGCCTCTGCCTTGCAATCCTTTATTATTATTTGTCACCCAGCTCTGGGCTGCATGTCGCTTGCAATCCTTTACATTTGTCTCCCTGTGTCTACATTTGTCTCCCAGCTCTGGACTCTGCCTTGCAGTCCTTTGTCTCCCAGCTCTGGACGTCGCAAGCTCTAGTTGCAGAGTGTTCCGATTTTGAAAAACACAAGCTGTTTGGGGTCTACGGTGGTATAATTGGTTGTGTGTTGTGGTTGTGTTTGTGATTGTGTTTGCGATTGTGTGTTTGTGATGGTGTGTTTGTGGTTGCGTTTGTGATTGGGTTTGTGGTTGTGTGTTTGTGGTCGTGTGTTTGTGGTTGTATGTTTTGTGGTTGTGTGTTTGTGGTTGTGCGTTTGTGATTGTGTGTCTGTGGTTGTGCTTGTGGCTGCGTTTGTTATTGTGTTTGTGGTTGTGTGTTTGTGATTGTGGTTGTGGTTGTGTGCTGTGGTTGAGGTCCGGCAGGGAACACTGGGCGTGGATGGTTGCGGTTGAGGTCCGGCGGAGGAGGCGGAGCGGAGGACGAGGAGTCTAACAACCCTCACCTGACAGGTGGGGAAAAACAAAAAGTTCAGACCCATGGAGGGGGGCCCAGCAGAGGCTGGACAGGAGACATAGGTCTGAACTTTTTGTTTTTTTTGTGTTTTGGTTTTGGTGCACTTTTTGGCAAACCAACCAAAACCAAAAACATCAGACCCATGGAGAGGGACCCAGGAGAGGAGAGGCTGGACAGGAAACATGGGTCTGAACATTTTGTTTTCTTGTTTTTCGCCAAACAGTTGACTGTTAGGGGTTCTCAACTCTTTCTTAAGATGTGTCCGCCCTTTGTGTCACTGCTGGTGTCCGCCCTTTTCCGCTGGCCATGTAGAAACGCTATTCATTTGTCGCTGCTGGTGTCCGCCCTTTTCCATTGGCCATGTAGCACTTCTGTTCATTTGTCTCCCAGGTCTGTCGCTGCTGGTGTCCGCCCTTCTTTTCCGCTTCGCTTGTCTCCCAGGTCTGTCACTGCTAGTAGTGTCCGCCCTTTTCCGCTGGCCATATTTGTCCCAGGTCTGTCACTGGTGGTGTCCGCCCTGTTCCGCTGGCCACGTAGCATTTCTTTTTTTGTTTCCCAGGTCTGGCACTGTAGCGTTCTATTCATTTGTCTCCCAGGTCTGTCGCTGCTGGTGTCCGCCCTTTTCACTTGGCCATGTAGCATTTCTCCCAGGTATGTCACTGCTGGTGTCCGCCCTTTTCCGCTGGCGATGCAACATTTCTATTCATTTGCCTCGCAGGTCTATCACTGGTGGTCTCCGCCCTTTTCCGCTGGCCATGTAGTCCCTGCTTGTGTCCGCCCTTTTCCGCTGGCCATGTAGCATCTCGGTTCATTTGTCCCCCAGGGCTGTCACTGGGCCATGCATTTCTATTCATTTGTCTCCCTGGTCTGTCGCTGCTGGTGTCCGCGCTTTTCCGTTCGCCATGTAGCATTTCTACTCATGTGTCTCCCAGGTCTGTCACTGCTAGTCCGCCCTTTCCCGCTGGCCATGCATTTCTATTCATTTGTCTGCCAGGTCTGTCCATGTAGCGTTTCTATTCATTTGTCTCGCAGGTCTGTCACTGCTGGTGTCCGCCCTTTTTGGCCATGCAGCATTTCTATGCATTTGTCTCCCAGGCCCTCTTCCCTTAACTATGCAGCATTTGGACTTAGCTGGTGTCCGCCCTTGTCCGTTGGCCACGCAGCATTTCTATGGATTTGTCTCCCAGGTCTGTCGCTGCTGGTGTCCGCCCTTTTCCGTTGGCC